ATCGTGTCTTCTCACTTGCTCTTCCCCTTCACAAAGAGTTTTCTGGGATTATGGGGGGCCTTTGGGGTGCTCGTCCTGACACGGCTCTGTCCCAGGGAGCAGTGGAGGGCTGCAGCATGGGCTTCACCAAATTCTGTGCTGCTCTGCTGAACCACCCAGATCCAGAGCTGCAGGCCATCCCACGGGCTGTGCTGGAGCAGGTACAGTACTCTTTGTGCCCCTTGTTTCCCGTGTGCCCTAAGGTGCACCAGGGTCATTTCTCAGTGTCCCCACTCCCTGGGGCAAGCAGCTTCCTGGCAGCTGGGATGCTGGTGCAGAGCTGGTGCCCTCCTGGCAGGGCAGCCACAGGTACCAGGTGACAGATTTCCAGCCACATCTCAGGTGATTTTCTTTATCTGCCAGGGCTTGGAAGCACTGAGTGGGCCCCGCAGCAGCTCGATCACACGCCGTGCTGCTGGCTTCCCCATGCTCTTCCTCTGCATCGTCAGCGGGGAGCCCCCGGCACAGGCACGGCCACTCCTGACCCGCTGCATCCAGACACTGCTGACCTTGGCTGCCACAGCCCTGCCACAGGACTGGGACCAGACCCTCGACCTCCCGCAGGTGGGTGTGGAGTTCCCTTTGGGAGCAGGGTGATCTGTGCTGGGTCCCTTGAAGAGAGCTGTGTCAGGTGCTGAGTGTGAGAGCGTGAGAACTCAGAGTGAGCAGAAACCCACAGCCCTGCTCATGCAGCCTGGCACCTGGGAGCTGGTGGCCTCTTGCCTCCCTTGTTTTTTCCCACCCTCTTCCCCTGACATGGTAGCATGAGCCCCCTCCCAACATGGTGCCACTGACCCCGTGTGCTCTCCGCAGGTGTGTGCCTTCCACGTGCTGCAGACGCTGGTCCGCGGGGCGGGGCTGGGCGGGGCAGTGCTGTGCCATGCCACACCTATGATGGCCCTGGCACTGCGGGGCCTGGGCTCACCGTGCTGGGCCATGAGGAACGCGGCCATCCAGCTCTTCAGTGAGTGCTGACAGACATCCCACAGCCCCCAGAGTTCGGAGGCTGTATGGGGTGAAGTGCAGGGGGTTGGCAGAGTTGGATGGGACCTGACACTGCCTTTTCTGTCCCTGCAGGTGCCCTCACGTCCCGGCTGCTGGGACAGCCGTGTAGCCACAGGGATGGCTGCCCATCAGAGGGGCTGAGCCTGCACGCCTTCCTCGGGCAGCACCCAAAGCTGGGTGCTGTGCTGCTTGGAGAGCTCAAAATGGCCACAGCACCCACACCAGGGGGTCCCCGCCTGCACCCTGCACTCCACGCCATCCTCACCCTCTTGGCCCAGCTGCAGCCTGGTGCTGACAGTCCTGGCAGGTATGGAGCAGTGGGGATGCTGTGCCTCAGCCAAGGGCTCCTGCAGTGGGAAGGGCTCCCATGCTGCTGAGGCTGGCCCTGGCTCTTTGTGAGATTTTACTCCAGCCAGAGCATCACCACATGGCGCCCTTTTTGCTCCACAGTCCCTCTGCTCCCTTCCTGGGGCCACTGCTGGGGCTGGCAGAGAGCCCCATCTACGCCGTACGAGCGATGGCTGCCAAGGCTCTGGTGCCTGTTGTCCCCCCTCCCCAGCGCTGCAGGCTCCTCCTGCAGCTGGCCCAGCAGCTCCCTGCAGCACCCGGACAGATCCGTTCACACAACGCTGTCCACGGGCACCTGCTGCAGATGCGGGCACTGCTGGCCTCTGCCACGGGCACTGGCGGGTGAGTGTTGCCATGCTGTCTCCCCAGCTGGGGTCTCTCTGTGCCAAAAGCAGCCTTTTGGCCACAGAAGGGTGCCCATCTCGGGGCCGCGCCCCGAGGTAAGGCTGTGTCTCCACGCAGGCTGTCAGCCGAGGCACTGCACCCCGTGGCTCTACAGCTGGAGGCGCGGGGCTGGCTGCTCACCCCTGCCCAGCGCTGCCCCCTCGTCCGCGCTGCCTTCCTGCAGGTCCTCGCCCTCCTGCCTACATCCTTCAGCCCTGACTTTGCCCAGTACATCCATGACACCATCAGCACGGAGCTGGGCAGCCTCCTGCAGCAGGGAGAGTCAGGCTGTGCCAACCCACAGGTACTGCTTCGTGCCTGGAAAATCATGGCCATGCCTGACTGGCAGTGAGCCTAGGCAAGGATTGCTCCAGGCTGAGCACTGGAAGGGGAATCCTGTTTTTTTCCTGCAGGTGGGCTCAGCCATCCTCCACCAAACCATGGCCCACTTCATGTGCAGCGAGGCAGCCCGGCTGGCTGATGGTGAGCAGATTGCTGCTGTCTGCTCACTTCTCCAGCAGCCCAACCCTGACACCCAGCTTGCTATCCTGAGCTGGGTGATTGCTGGGGAGAGAGGAATGTGCAAGGAGGTGGAGAATGCTCTTGGGCTGACATTGCTGGTATGATGGGGCTCAAAAGTCGCCAAGTAAAGCAGGGATTCCTCAGTGCACCATGCAAATGGGACCCCTGGGATCTCATTGCTGAGAATCTTGGTGCTCCCCAGGCTGAGGGCGCATGGGTGCAGGGCACTTGCCTGGTCCTGCAGTGCTAAGACCACTAACCATGTACCTTCTTTTCTATTGTCAACTAGGAGAGCTTGGGGTCAGTGCTGCAAGAGAGAAGGGACAAAGAGTTCCTGAGATTGTACCTTGAGGCTTTGCTGCATCTTTACAGACATCCCTCGTCATGGTCCCAGGAAGCTTCCAGTAAGCTCCAGGGCTCCTCAGCATCATGCCTGGAGATGCTGCTGCACATGGTGGAGGCTGAGTGTCCTGGGCCTGATCTTCTCTTCCAGGCACTGTGTGCTGCCAGCCTGCTGCTCGCCCACCAGTAGGTCCCTGCTGCTGCTGGGAGGCTGCACAACTCTTCCAGCAGATTCTTACTTAGTCCTTACTAGAAACAGAGCCGTGACTTGTCTCCTATAAATCACAGCATTGCACCTGTGATCTCAGGGCAGCCTTTGGTCCCGTAATGGAGCAGAAGGTGTGCTTGAACTCACTCTCCTTCCCTGGCCTCTGGCAGGTTTGGGGACGAGGATGGTGCGCTGGTGGAGCGCTGGTGTGCGGTGCTGGAGGAGTGCAGCCAGTCCACGTGCTCCGAGGTGCTGCGGCTGGCAGCTGCCCGCTCCCTGCACATGGCAGGGGCTGGCGTGGTGCAGCGATCCCTGCGTGCTGCCCGTGCCTCGCTCGTGCCCGTGGCTCTGCGGTAAGTCACTGAACCCATCCCTGGGGATGGCTGTGCTTGCAGCCTGTTCCCAGCAGCACTGCTCCCGCCAGCCCCAGCCTGCTGGAGGTCAATAGACTCTGCAAAAGGTGTCCCCTGCAAAAACTCAAGGGTATTGAAGAAAACCCCACTCATTCAAAAATCACCGGCACTCAAGAACTCACAGTCTACCAAAAAATGTGTGGGTGGCATTTTAATACAAGCAGCCAGTCCCTTATGACCAGCAGATGGCATTGCTGGGTCCCTCAATCCTCGGCACAGCCCCTACCCTCTCAAGCTCCAAGCTCTTGGGTGGTGGCTGTGTCCACAGTCCAGGAGAAAAGCCCCTCAGGGAAGCATTCTTCTGAAGTCTTATCTTTCCCTCCTCTCCAAGCAGGCTGGGACGCTTTGGGACATGCAGTATGCTTCCCTTTCCTTCTCTTCCCTTTCCTCAGGCTGATAAACATGGCTGTTCACCTTCTGCAAGATGAGGAGCGGGAGGTCCGGCATGAGGCCTCAGGTTTCGCCAGCCTCCTGCGGCAGAGCCCAGGGGAGCTGCTGCAAGATGGCTGCATCATTGTGCAGGACAATGTGGGGCTCCAGAGCCTCCTAGAGCTCCTTCTGGGAGAGTTTGGGGAGCACTCTGAGACTTTCAACTCACTACTTCAACACCTCCCCATCTTAGACCTCAGGAGTGTCGTGGAGGAGCTGGAGGCCAACAAGTGAGTTGCTGGGCCTCTGGACTGGCGTGAGGGAGTGTGGGGTATCACGGGGCCAGCCCCTGGCTTCACTCACACCTTGGCTTTCCCCCCAGAGCTGCCAGCCTGTACAAGGAGGATGAACCCAACGTTTTTGCAGAGCCAGCTGTCCTGGCACGGCAGCTGCTCCCAGTCCTGGTGCAGCTCCTGGAGAAGGCTCCCACTGGCAGCCCACTCCATGCCTCAGCTCTGCAGTGGGTGGAAGCCACAGGCCCCGGTGTGCTGAGGGACCTGCAGTACTGCAAACGCTGCTGGAGCCAAGGTATGGCAAGCATTGGAGCCTGGGACAAGCAGTGTCCAGGCCAGCTCTGCCCAGGGGGACCCCGCCACACTCGTGGCTCCTTCACCCACTCTCTCCACAGGGCCTGCTGTCCGCTGGGGGATGAAGGCGCTGGGCTGTGCCAAACTCCACACAGCCCTGGCCGTGCTGCTGGTGAGGGCTCAGCTGGTGGCACGGGTGCTGCAGGTGCTGGGGGAAGGTGCCACCGCCGTGCCAGTCCTCAGCTATGGCACCCAGGAGTTGGAGCAGGAGCTGGAGCTGGTACAGGAGCTGCTGGTGCAGCACGGGCTGGCCCCTGTGCCAAATCAGCACAATGCACCAGGGGAACTGGGACCACCGTCAGGGACTGACAGCTCCAGGCATGCAGCAGTGTGATACGAAATCCTGTAGCCATCTCCCTCCATTTCCTGGATGCTCTCTCTGACCAGCAGCCAGGCCTGCAGGTTTGGTGGTGTAACTCAGGGGAATCCCACTCACAGTGTGGGACACACTCACTGTTGTTCCCAGTTTCTAACTCTTCAGCCGAGGATTCCAGTGCAGCATTGCCTTGGCCCATGTCCATGGCTTCCTTGCCCTCAACTCTGGCTGGCAGGAGGGGGCATGTGCTCCAGAATTCTCACACCCCTCATGGTCAACTCTCAGCATCTGTTTTTTTAACAAGCACTTTGGTCCTTGGCTGACCTGGGCTTTTATCCCAAATAAAGAGGCCAAGAACATTCCTAGTGTTAAAGCCTTTTATTTCCCCTGCCCAGGAGGGCAGTGTGAGAGTGAGCTGCAGGAGCCAGATGTGTCCTGGGGCAGCAAACAGGCAACAGCCACTGGCTGCTGTGGAGCAAGATCCAGCCCTGGCATGGCACGTGCTCCCACCACAGGCTGTGGTACCACCCAAAGCTGGAGCAGGGAATCCAGCAGCAAGGTCGTGTGGTGCTGGACGAGGAGTGGGGAAGGGCAGCAGCACCACCCAGCCCAGCCTCATTCCTTCCAGTGGGGGCTGCCGAGCCCTATGGCTGGAACTGGACATCAGCACCATCGCCCATGTGCAGACTTGGGGTGTCTGTTTAATTTCTCTCTGCAAAGCCCAGCAGGGCTGAACTGCCCTGCGTGGCTTATCTGGTACTGCAGTGGGTGAGCTCAGACAAGAGGAAGGATGCTGCCTCCTTCCTCACGTTGCTTGCCAGGTGCAGCTCGTTGAAAATACAATGTCATGGCTGGGCGTGACATCATCACACCATGTCACCACCACATCATCCTCTCACCCAGACTTTACCTCATCATGCTGTTCTTCTACCATTAATCACCACACTTTAGCAATTTCCTTATTTTTAGTCTTTATAAGAAAGGTTTTTCCATTCTTCAGGAAAATATTTAATGGAAAAACAGAGGGCAGCAAGGGTGAGCACCAAACCTGCAGGAGGGTGAAATTATGAAAGAGACCACATTTTTATTTCATTCCCCACCTTCCCAGCAAGGAGTGGAGGCTCAGCTCACCTTCTCAGGGGGAACCCTACACGAAGATGAGAGCTGGTGGGGAGCAGACACAGCCCTCCTGCAGGCCCTCCTGTACCCATGAGCCCTGGCATCCCACCACAGAAGCGGCCACCCAAAATGTCCTGGAAGGGAAAATCAGTGAGAACTGGGGTGTGCCATTAATAAATACAATTTTTAAAAATCAAATATAGTTTTATATATGGGTTTATATTATATATATAATAATGGAAATTGGACTAGATGATCATTGTATGTCCTTTCCAACAAAGATTTATATTCTATTTAAATATGCTTATTTTTATATTATAATCTTGGTTTATAGGACATATTAATGATTCATTTAATAATATGATGGTATACTATAATATTGTGGCATATTTTAACATAATTATAGCTTTGTATACAAATATTATAATTAGAATATAAAAGGAGAATGCCTTAGAGGCTAGGAGAGATCCCATGGTGAGGATGCCACAACTTGGCACCTACCTGGCTCCTTGCAGCCCGTGCCCATTGCAGTGGGGACGGCGGTGGGACAGATTCCCCCAGCATTCCACACACACCCGCTTGTCCCGGTGCAGCCGGCGGCTCCAGGCTTGCCCGAGGCACGGGGCTCCCACCTGAGTCAGGCGGAAATAGCCGCAGTAGCTGGGGAAGGGGGAGCTGGGGAAGGGGGAAAATGGGAGGAGAAAAGAGTGGTCGGAAGGTAGGACAGAGGTTGTGGTGGTTTTTTGAAGGATTGGGGTGTAAAGGGGATGTGGGTTTGGGGGAGGTGAGAAGGGTAATGGCTCTGGGGGTTGCAGAGGGGCCATGAATTTAGGGGGTGCAGAGGGATCCTAGTTTGGAGAGTGGGAAGGATGATGGTTCTATGGAGCATGCAAAGGGGCATGGTTTGGGGCAGGGAGAAGAGTAATGGCTGGGGGAAGCAAAAAGGTCCTGGGTCTGGGGGGTGCAAAGGGGCCATGAGCACACGGGAGGTGCAGGAGGGCTTTGGGGAGGGGGTTACAGGCCCCGACTCCACACATACCCAGAGGGCTCCTCCGTCAGTGGCAGCCCAGCTCTTCGCCAGGGATCTCTGAAGTCCTGGCTGAAGGAGTTGGGGAGTATCTTGGCTACCTCTGGCAGAAGAGCAGCTGTGAGGGGCACGGGGATGACTGAAGCCACCCCGGGACGAGCACGCAGGAGGGCAGCAGGCAGCCCGCGTTACCTTTGGCCGTCCCGCAGGTCGGGTGCTGCCCCAGGCACCCGCGGCGCTGCTTGAGGTCAGGACAGGGATCCCCTCCGTGCCGGGGGGGGACAGTGACCTGGCGGCTGCGGGCTCTGCTGCCAACCCCGCACCGGGAGCTGCACCCGCTCCACGGTCCCCAGGGCCCCACAGCACAGCCCACCTCTGCCACGGATGGAGGAGAGGGAAAAAAAAGTTTCAGTGTCATGAACAATGGAAAGAGCAAAGCAGGGGAGATGCCGCACAGGGGATGGGGAGAGGGGAGGAAGGGCAAGGGTCGGAGTGACCCCAGCAACCCCTCTCCCCTGACCTCTGCCAGTGCAGGGGGCATTGTGAGCTGCTTCCGCAGGACTTTATCCCTGTGTGCATCGCGCTGAGCTCGGACCCTGCTAATCTCCCCGGAGATTAGGAAGGGCTGACTGCTGCAATTGTCCAGGGGGCCGTGGCTGGTGCCTGCCTGCCCAGATTTGGGTCCCCAGGGCAGGCTGGTTCTGCGCTCAAGCCCACGAGCCCTGTTTGGCATCCTCAGTGCAGTCCCCGGTTTCCCTGTCCCTGTGCAAGGCACTGTGCCTGTGACAGTAGCAGAGGTGGCACCGGGTCCTGCTGGGTCCCACACCGACCACTCAGCCTTGCAAGTGCCAGCGCTGCCATCAGCTGCAGCCACCCCTACGGGCTCTCTTATTGCATTGGGGCCAGCCAGACATTCAGCATGGAAGAAAAGGGACAACTGGGACACTGCTACAAATCCAGCCCAGCCGGCATCCCCGGACATATCGTTATTACTTAAAAGTACAGGGCTAACAGGTACCAGCAAACACTCGCCACCGAGCACAGCAGCACAGGCTGGTGTCCCCAGCTGCGGTCCAGCCAGTGCCATCCCCTCGGCCACTCACCGGCACGGCGGCACGTGGCCAGGTAGTCCCGGCAGCAGTCTCCCGTCCTCTGGCAGTACGAGTCGCAGTAGCAGCGAGCCCGGCGGGCACCGGGGGTCCAGCAGGCGTTGTTCCTGCCGGGGCAGCACCGCTGTCGGCAGCTGCCCGTGGCACCCACCAGGCAGCCGGTGGCCAGCAGCCAGCCCGCCCAGAGCAGCAGGCCCCGCATGGCACCGGGAGCCTGTGAGCCCCGCGGGATGATGGCTCTGCCCCGCACCGGCGGACACTGGATGAGGAGCGAGGGCTGTGCCGGTGGGAGCTCCGGCCGTGCCGCACCGCCCCCGGGCTGGGCGGGGGGACAAAGCCCGTTCCCTTCTGCTCCACCGCCCCTCGGCTCCATGGCAGGGCAGGGGCTTCAAACAATTAACCAGGGTTATTAATAAAGCACTGTGCATGAGACAACACAATCTTGCCTGGGAGCATCTGTGATTGGGCACTGCTGGGCTGGAGCTGATGCTCCCCTAGGAGCAGAATCTTGGCATGATGGGGAGCCCCGTCCCCCACCCACAGGGCAGGAGCCACTCACTGCCCACTCAGCACAGCCGGGACACCAACACAGCTGCTAAAGCCAGACTGATTTTATTCAAATTGCGAATGTAAAACAGAATAATAATAAAAAAAAATCTAATGCAACCCTCACTGGCTTCAGAGCCAAAAGCCGCAGGTAAACCGTGCCCAGGCTTTCCTCCTTCACCCTTCCTGTGTTAAGGCTGAGCTCATCGCTGGCTACAAGAGGGAGGAGGGATAGGCTGAGCCCTGGCTCCTGCACCCCCAGCTCCCTCAGGGAGAAATTTGGCACAAACCCAGTGGGGCCAGCCTGGCACGGGCAGAGCAGGGCTCCAGCCCCACGGCCATGGGTGTTAGTGAGTCAGCGTGAAGCTCCAAAAGCTACGGGATCACCTACGGCACCACAGAGAGGCGGCGGGAGGGCAGATGCGGGGAATGTGGCAGAAGAAAGGGGTTTGCACCCCTGGCCGAGGGGCCAAGCCTGCGGCGTGGGGCTGCAGCTCCTCGCCCTGGCTCGCACACACGCCTCGGCTGTAAACGGCGGCTGAGGGGGCACCCGGCTCAGCCCAACCCCAGCCCACAGGGAGCAGAACTAAAGGCCTGGCTGTACGTGCAATCTGGGGCTGAGCAGCATCCCTGGGATGGGATAGGATGTTGCACACCAGTGGTCTTGGTGCTGGCAGGGAGGGAGGAGGGAGCTTGGGGTCACACCAGGGGGGTCACAGCCCTCCCATCCTAGGGGGTGCAGGGCTGCTGGGCCCCCTCCAAGAGCTGCTGTGACCCCGCCGGTGACATCAACCCCATTGTCAGCTTGTGATGTACAGCTTGCCATTGCACACACATGGCCTGAGGGGGCTGTCAGCATCCCCAAAAGAGCTGCTCCCTAGGCACTCAAGAGCTTCTGGCTGCTGGGAGCCCCAAGGCCACTGTCCAAGGGACATCTCAGCCTGGTTAACCAGCAGACACACAGCTGATGTGGGGCTGGGGGAAAGTGTCACCAGGAGATTGGGTTGGACATGACCAGGATGCTGGGGGTTGGATGGTGGGATGCAGCTCCTTCCCTGCTCCTTTCAGCACACAACTAGTAATTTAACCTGCTCCAGAGCCTGTTCCTAAAGATAAAGGTAGCCAGGTTTGGGGTGTGCAGGGCAGACCTGGCCCCAGCAGCGCCGCAGGTGGGTGTGGGTTTGGTCTCTGCTCTCCAGCTGAAGCCCTGCGGGGCACAGGAGGCGGGGCTGCCTGGCCCGGCCCCTCAGTCCGTTTTCCACACCTTGTTGAGGAATTTGACCACCTCATCGTAGATGATGAAGACGATGGCCACGTCAAGACACACACGGCCCAAGCGAGGCACTGTACCCTTGTAAAATCTGCAGGGATAGAAAGGGGGGCCGTGGGGCTGGATCCCCTCACAGCCCCTTCCCTGCCCATCCTCCCCACCAGCCACCCCCACTGCGGAACTTACGCCAGGGGCCCTTCGTGTTTCATGATCTGGTAGGCACAGTCCCAGGTGTTCTTGTACTTGTGCGCTTCCAGCCCCTGTGGGGAGGGAAAGCAGGATCAGAGGCCAGAGCCAGGGTGGCATCTGGAGGATTTTGGAAGGGCAGCAGAGAGCTGGGGGTGTGCTATGAGGAACTGATCTCCCTCCACTGCTGCAGGACATCAGACCTCACAGGGATGTCCCCACCTCCATTCAAACACTCCTCATGGCTCAGGAGCAATCCCAAACATCTCCCAAATCAAACCTTGCAGGTATCGTGTGCCTGCCCCAGGGACTGCATGAAACAGCTCCCAGACAGTGGGTGTCCCCAGCCTGCTCCCAGGCAGAGCAGTCCCACACCAGGCCCTGGCACTGTACCTGCATCCTGGTCTTCACCACATCCAAAGGCGTGTTGCCGAAGACACTCGCAGCTCCAGCAAGGGCTCCAAACACCCCTGTTATGAAGGGGTTCATGGCCTTGTTGGGATTGTCCCCTGGGAAGGAAGAGAGGTTGAGGGCAGAGTGGTGGTGGGATTCCCACATACATTCCTGAGGGAGCCTGCGAGGAAGGTCCCAGGTCTGGCTGCTTGTGGTCAGGGTGCAGTCCAGCAGCACCTGCCCCACAGAACCCAAGATGGGTGTGAAAGTGATGTTTCAGCACAAGGACCTGTCAGCCCCACAAGCTGGTGCCACCCCACCCTCGTATTCATTTTCCTCCATTCCAAGGAACTGAGCCATGAGAAATAGGGAGTGTGTGCATGGAAAAACTATCCCAGCTCCCAAGGGTGGCTGGGGAACCAGAGGCACCACCAGGGTGGTCTGGGGGGCCAAGGGCACTATACCTTTGTACCAGTTCCTGAGGGAGGTCATGACAAAGAAGCGGATGGCCTGGTTTGATCCTTGCTTGAGGATGGTTGCAGTTAAGCCCTGGTAGGTCCCCTTCAATCCTGCAAGAAGAGGGTGTTGGAGGGGACACCAGCCTCAAGTGGCAGAGAAAAATCTCCCCAGGCCACCTGTCCCATCCTGTGCCCATCCACCACCTCCCACCCTGTCCCCACAGCATGGCAGTAGTCAGGGAGTCAGGGTGTCACTTTCCTGGGACTCACCCTGTTCCCGAACGATCTCCCGGACGCCATGGAAGAAACCACGGTATTTGGGGTTGGGAGAGGTCTGGTCATGGATAAACTTCACCTACAAGGAGATGATGTGCTTGTGCTGGGTGAGGTAATGCAGATGTGATGGCCCCAAGGGCTGTTGGCCACCTCCTGCCTTGTTCCAGGATAGTCCCAAGACCAGAGCCAACCCATGCAGCCAGGCAGCTCTGGGAGAGATCGCGGGGGAAGCCTGTGCCCATGGCCAGCAGTGCATTTTGCAGAGGAGAACCTGGGAAACTACCACTGCAAGCAGCCACGTGGGGCTTACACTCATAAAATGGGTGACAAGATGGCTTCTAGGTGTGGGGCTCCTCCCTGGAGTGGGGAAGGGGCCAGGGCCACCTGACTTGACCTCCACAGGGCGTTCCAGCATTGGATCCTCCCCAACAAAACTGTCTTCAGCAAATGCATGCAGCCCTCAGGTCCCCAAAAGTTGGGCATCCCAGGGTTTTGCCCCCTCCCAGCCCAGCCCAGCGAGGGCTGCCAAGGCAAGGGACAGTGGCAGCCACACCCACCCACCTTCACAGTCTCCATGGGGCAGACCACGACCACAGCCTCGGCCACGCCAGCCCCCAGCCCGCAGATGAGGCCCCGTGTGCTGTCCAGCCGCCCCTGCTCGTCTCTCATCTGGTTGCTGAGGAACTCGAACATCCCAAACCTGCAAAGGAGCCACTGTGCCAACCCCTGGGCCCCTGGACAGGATCTGCACCCCCTGCTCTGGGTCTGTCTCCAGGAGCAGCTGCATACCCCATGAGAGGACCCTCCCTGCCTGGGAAAACACGTGGCTTTGGTAAAACACCAATGGAGACATCAGGGGCAAAGCCACCCAATTGTTGCTGTTGGGGGGGTCCCCCCCACTCACCCCTCGCCACGGGGGGCACGTACCTGACAGCAGCCTTGGGGATGGAACCATAGAGCAGCGAGCTGAGCCCCCGGTACAGCCCCCGGATGCCATGGTCACGGACAGTCTGCTTCACACAGTCCCCTGCAGAGCACAGTGGTGCTGCTGTCACCCACCACGCCGAGGAACACCCACCACCACCCTGCCAAATCTCCCAGCACCAGCCAGGCTCCCCAGGAGCCCAAACACAGAGAGGGGTTGCTCACCAATGCCCTTGTAGCGGGGAGGGTTTGCCTTCTCATCCAGCTGCAGCTGTGTCTTCACATACTCAGTAGGGAATGTGATGCAGATCTCGATCCCTCCAGCCAGGCCACCTGCACGGGAGAGGAGGGGACACTGAGGCAGGAGCAGCATTGTACCCATTCAGTGCCACATGGCTGTTCCCAGCTCCATGATGGCTGAGTCTGAGACCTCTGGCAGCCAGGTCTGGGCTGGGACATGATATCCCTATCCTCAGCAAAACCCTGAGGACTCCACACAGCAGCAGGGCCCTGTGCCAACCTAGTGCCTTGCATGGGCATCACTGCCCTGCCATGGCAAGAGGTGTTGAGGAGACTGGGCAAAGAGGTGGGAAAACAGGGCAAAACACTGCACCCATAGCTGCCTATTTGGTGTGTTACCCCTCAAAGGCACCCCTCCCTCTCTGGAACCTCACATCTCCAGGTGAGCTGCCAGCACTGGGATGTATAAACCCAGTGGTGCTGTGGCAGACCCAGCACCACTCCCCACACCAGCAGGAGCCCATCTGCAGACCTGGCTGTGCCAGCAGGAAGCACAATTATCATCAAGCCTGTCTGGCTGCCCCGGGCTCCCGCGATGGCAGTTGCTGGGCACAGATTACATCGGTTGCAGCCTTTCCTGCAAGGGATGCTGGCTCTCGGTCCTGGGACTCTCCTCAGCATGGCTGGAGCCCTTGCAGCTGGACACAGCTGTGCTGGGGAAGCTGGGCTCAGCCCATCCGGCCACGATGGATCACAGAGCGCTTCCTCACATCAAAGCATGGGCAGGTCCCGCCGAGCAGCAAGAGCCGTTTGTGCCAGCACCAGGAGGAAGCACAGGGCCAGCCTTGCTCAGCCCAGGACAGGGCACAGGGCATTGCCACTGGGGCCAACACCACTCTGGTGCTGAGG